AGGCTGGCCCTTCGGGGTGCTGGGGGGGGGACGGACACGGCCCCCGGGGCGGTGGGATGCTCCCCGGCAGCCCCACAGCTGGGGAGGGAGGGGAGCGGCAGCCCCAGCCCTGTGTCAGAGTCAGGGCACCCCCCGAGGGGACACGTGCACAGGGGGGACGCCGGATGGGCAAAGCAGGGGGCTGCTGGGGCACCCCCAGAAACACGTCCTCCTCAGAGCCATGGTGATTTTTAGCAAGCTGCTAAACGGCCCCTTGTTTGGGCTTCAAAGTCTGGGCTTCTCTGGGTGACGTGCCCCCCCTGCTCTGCGCTCTGGCTGGTGCCGCCCATAAAGATGATATTTATCCTCACTGCTGGGTCCTCTCCCCAGAAGGGCAGGATTTGCTTTCCCTGCTCTGGGGCTGTTGTGGCAAGAGCAGGGTGGGGGAAACTGAGGCGCCATCGAGCCCCTTGCCCAGCACTGGCGTGCTGTGCAGCCTGGGACAAGGGCGGATGGGGCGAGGGGCAGCGACATGTGGGAGCTGTGGCTGCAGCCTTGTCCTCTCCAGACAGTCCCGCGTCCTGCCCCAGGGAAGGGCAGCAAATCCAGAACCACCAGGGTCTCCTTGGGCAAATCAGTCCCTCCATGCTCCAGGAAAGAGAGGCTGGACTCTGCCTCATCCTGCCTTGCCTTGTTGGTACCCTGATCTGGGAGATGGGGCTCAGTGCCGGCACAGGAGAAGACCCCAGCCCCCAGGCAAGCGGTGGTACAAAAAGACATCGTAATGATGGAGGTGGGATTAAACAGGTTGGGGAGGCTCAGCTCCCTCTGATGGGTGCCTCCTTCAGGCCAGCGCTGAAGCCCTGTGGACCAGCCTGTCCCCAGGACCCATCCCTTACCTGCCCCACCATGGGTGGCAGGCTGAGGGTCTCACACCAACGTGGAGCTCCTGCAGAGACAACTGCCCCGGCTGAGGGCTTGGGCAGCCTCCCGTGGGCACGCAGGGCCAGAGCTGGCCATCTGTGGCGGTCTGACAAATTATAGCCAATGTCTCAAACGTTTGTTAAAAAACTTTGGTGGAGAAAAATGGCCTCTGTAAAAGCGCTGGAGCTGCGTAAACAGGAGGATATGTCGGGAGGAGAGGGCCCCACGGGGGTAGCACCGTGCTTCTCCAAAGTCATACTTCCCTACTTTAAGCAACCATGAGAAGAGGCACAACACACGTTCCAGGAAGAAGGCTCAGATAGCAGTCATGCCTACAGGGAGGGAGAAGCAACTCCCTGACAACCCATCGACCCATTTCCAGAGACATGAACTGTGCATGTCAAGACCACCAATTCATTTCTGGAACATTCCTGAGCACACACTGCACCTGCTCAATGACAACAAATCCCCATCTACAGGGGCGGACACTTTAGGTATAAAAGAAGGAAGGACAAGTTCTCAGGGGGCTCTCCCCAACGAACACCCCCATTGGCAGGTCCAACACTGGATCGAGGACTGATGATCTCTCTCTCTCTCTCTGTTTCTGTCTCTATCTCTTGCCCCTCTTCTAAATAGTCTCTAAGTTATAGTTTAAATGGTTAAGTAATGCAAGGCCGACCTTGACCTCCCATAAAGTTGCATAGCTTAGGTAGATCTAGTTGTGAAAGTGCCATCATTTGTGGAATATTTGTTGCTATAGAAGTTTCCCATTAAAGTTGATGTTTATGCACGAACTTCAAGTGCTATTTCACTTTAATCCACACTGAGGGGATTTGCGAATCTGAGTGAGTCACTCCCCCCTCGCCATAGGTGGGACGTGACACCATTGCGAGCTGCTCAGGTGGGAGAATGCTGTGCCACGTGCCGCACAGGGGGAGGAAACACACCATCATCCTCCTCCCCGCACATCATGGCGACATGATGTTTCGGGCCAGAGCTTTGCACAAACAGCTTCCCCCACAGTGAGGGTGAAACGCTGCTGTGTTTTGCTGCGGGAGGAATTTAAGGGATAAAATAGCCTCTCCCTGGTCACCAAGCCTGGACCCTGGCAGGCCCCCAACCGCTTCCCATCTGGAAGCTGGCAAAAGCCAAAGTTTTTGAAAACGTGGCTAAGGAGGGCAGCTGGAGCCCGGGACATGTCCAATCGGCCTCCACTGCTGCAACCTAATAGAGATCCATTAGGTAAGGTAGCTTACAGCCTCCAGAGCTTCACGAAAGAGATAAAAAGCCAGTGAGGTGGAAGAAAACCACGCATCTCCAAAAGCCTCGCTTTCCCCGAATCTCAGAGGGGCTCTCTCATGAAAGGCCCCATCGGCTGGAAGTTGCAGACGTGGGGGTCGTTAGCGCTAATAGCCAACAGCAGAAGCTGTGCAAGCAAAGTTTGCTGGCTGCCCAGGTAATGCCAGCAATCATTACCCAGGCGCCGGGCGAACGCTCCCGACGTGTGTGCACACAAAGCCGCCCCGGGGCCCAGAGGCTTTAGCAGGCTGTTAGCAGGCAGAGTGAAAAACTGGCCAAAATCAGGGAGTTTGCTGGAAAATGGTTGCCTGGCATGACCTGGGAGAAAGGGAATGGTTTTAAGGGGGAGAAGATGTTCACCGAGTGTGAAGCAGCCAATTTAAAGGGTCTCTGGGAGGGAGAGGGAGGGAGGGAGGGAGAGCCGCTCATTAGCAGGTGTTAGCTGCGTGCATCAACCCAGAAGGAAAGCAAACCCCAGGGCATGGTGTTGAGGACCACCCACCCCCTGCCCCCAGCATGTCCCTGGTGCACAGGGCAAGACCCTGCAGGGGCTGGCTCCGTGCGGTGCTGGCACTGGGGGCTGCAGCCCACAGCCCCGCTGAGCCGTCAACTCATCTTCGTCAAATAAGCAATGCAGCCACTAGCTGCATCACAAAAGGGAGGGGGCTGTGGGAGGGAAATCCTGTAGCCTGGCACCCACATCTCTCACATCCCTGGGAATCAGCAGCAGGACCCATAGGAAAATTGAGGTCAGCAGGGACCTCCGGAGAAAAAGCAAAGGATGGGCTTGCAGCATCCACGGGCACTTCTGGGGATGGGGATTTGGGAGAGGAGCTCCGGTACGCTTTGGCCACGAGCCTTGGAGGATGTCACAGAAATATCCCGTGCAGTGACAACACCACCCGGACTACAGAAGGGTGTCTCTGCACCTGCAGAAATAGGATACGGGTGGTTCAACACCGAGAGGGGAGAGATACGCTGAGCGCTGATACTATAAACAGATTGTTTCTGGCAGGGCATGGTGATCTGGAGGAGATCCTCTCTGTTGCAGCCTAAGAGCCCAACAGACCCAGATCCCTGCCGATTGTGGAGGTGCAAGCCAAGCAGAGCTGCCAGGCCCCTGCCAAAGGAGGAGGAGGAGAAGGAGGGAGCCATCACCAATGTGAAGCAAAGCCACGGGAGCCTCCCTGAGCGCAGGAGGCTTTGGGGTGCAATCAGCTCCTGGGGAAAGTTGGCTGTTGGTGGTCAGAGCACCAAAGCTACCCAGGGACCCCCTCCTAGAGCCAGGGATTATTTGAGACATTTGCCCCAAAAAGTGATTTTTGCCATGCAGGACCAAGCTGGGCCCTGGGCCAAGAGGTGAAGGGAGAAAAGTATGCTGCTGTGGGCTGGATGCCCCACGCCGAAGGGCTGTGCCAGGGCAGGAGTGCTCCCCCACATCTCCCACCATTCCCCAGGACACCCTGAAAATCTTGCTCCCCTCCAAAACTTCAGCTACTGAAGCTGATCTGTTCCAGCCAGGCATAGAACCAGGGAAGAGGCTTTCCTTGCATTTGTCTTCACTATGGGGGAAATTTCTTTGGACACAGCATTCCACTGGCAAGTCTTGAGTTTTCCTGGACCCACTGTCTAGGACTGGGATAAGGGATCCACAGGGTTGGGTGCTGGGCTAACACACAGTAAGATGCTTCTCCCCTCCACATGTCCTCATGGGCTCAGCAGATAAGGGAACCCAAAGGACATCTTGGGTGTCTGGTGTTGGTGATGGAGAGCTAAAGCAGGGCTAAGTTAAATGCACTGGAGGGGCAGAGGGCAGAGCCCAGAGCCCAGAGCAGCCCCCAGCCACTCTACTTCCAGCCCAGTGTGCACAAGGGTTTTATTGCCCTGCCTGTGCTTGATGCTCTGGCTGTAAAAAGGCTGTAAAAGAGCAACTGTGCCTCGTAATGGCTTATAGAGAACACAGAAGCATATGTGCCTTTACCATTACGATCATAATTGCAAACATTCAAAAGTCGAGATTTGCAAGCTCCCAGCTTCCCAAAGGCGGCTGGATTCGAACCCAAATGACATCCAGAGGAATCAGGGGAAAATCAGCAAAAAGCAAGGGCTTATTTGTAATTTACACTGCGGTATGGGCAAGCAGGATCCAGGCTGGCAGCCCGATCTCCCCCAGCTGCCGCTGGTAGAGGGCAGCTGTGCCCCTAGATACAGCCACAGAAGCCCCTGCGCATCTGCTGTGACCCCCAGGGTCCTGGTGGGGCTGGCTGCATATGG